GGGCAATTCATCTGGCGTTGCGTCACTTCAAGCATAAGGTGAGAGGCCAACACATACTTGTCCTCACGGACAACATTGCGGCCAAGGCTCATGTGAACCGCCAAGGGGGCACCCGATCAAGCGCTCTGATGACAGAGGCCACACTGCTCTGTTCTTGGGCAGAGGCCAATCTATTATCGATAAGGGCGGATCACATTTCGGGGGAAATCAACCAACAGGCAGACGCTCTCAGCAGAGCGACGGTGGATCATTCAGAATGGCGTCTGGATCCAGACCTGTTCCTAGCCATATCTCGCAGGGTGGGACACCCAGTTCTCGACTTGTTCGCCTCGGAAAAGAACTCCCAACTTCCAAGGTTTTTCTCCCGCTTTCAGTCTCCAGGGGCGGAGGGAGTGGATGCCTTACGCATCCCGTGGCCCCGGGGCCTTCTTTATGCTTTTCCTCCGCTTCCTATTCTTCCAGCGGTCATCCGCAAAATTCTGCGGGAGCGGGCGGAGGTCGTTCTCATAGCCCCTCATTGGCCGAGACGCCCGTGGTTTGCAGATCTCATGAGCCTATCTGTAGCCACCCCGTGGCGGATACCTCCAGACTGGATAGCACTCACTCAGGGGGCGCTCCGCCATCCAGATCCTCAATGGCTACAATTAACCGTATGGCGATTGAGCGGAGACGTTTGACTACGGAGGCTTATTCTCCGAGAGTCATTGATATCATCCAGGCATCTAGACGTCCCTCAACGAATAGAGTTTATGACTCTACTTGGAGGAGTTTTACATCTTGGATGTCCAAGCATCAGGTACAGTTCTCATCTCTCACTGTACCTCAGGTCCTACAGTTTCTGCTGGACGGGATGGACAAAGGGCTGTCTCCTAGTACTCTTAGGAGACAGGTGGCGGCTATAGCCATGGTTCTTTCTTGCGACGACGCTTCTTCTCTTGCTCACCATCCTATGATTCGTTCCTTTCTTAAAGGAGCAGCTAATATAAAGCCCCCAACAGTTCATTGCTATCCTTCCTGGGATTTGTCAAAAGTTCTACAGGCCCTTACCGGGTCACCCTTTGAACCTATTCGCTCATGCGATCTCAATCTGTTATCCATGAAGGTGGCTTTTCTGGTGGCAGTGACATCTGCCAGACGCATTTCCAAATTGGCTGCTCTTTCGGTGAGGGAGGATCTTTGTTTGTTTCGCCCTGACTGTGTAATTTTATGCTTGGATCCCACATTTGTTCCTAAGGTGAATTCCTTGTTTCACCAGTCACAGGAAGTGGTGCTGCCAAGTTTTTGTCCTAGTCCATCTAGTGACTTGGATCGCAGATGGCACACTTTAGATGTTCGCAGAGCACTTTGCATTTATATTAAGAGGACATCTTCTTTCCGTAGATCGGAGGCTCTCTTCGTGTCATTCGCTCCGACCTCAATGGGTCTCAAGGTCTCTTCTACCACCATCGCTAGATGGATAAAGGCTTGTATTGCTAGAGCATATCAATCACAATCATTGGCTATGCCGTCACGTGTCACAGCTCACTCTACTCGCAGTGTGGCCACTTCTGCTGCCTGGGCTACTCAGGCGCCTATTGGCGACATCTGTCGGGCGGTGACTTGGTCGTCCCCTTCGCCATTTATCTGTCATTATAAAATAGATAGTTTTGCTTCTGCTGATGCTGCTTTTGGCCGTCGTGTATTACAGCGGGTAGTTTCATCTCCTGCATCACGTGGCCCGTCTGTTAACCCTCCCTAGGGACAGGCGAGCTTTGGTATGTCCCAATCATGTGGATTATCCATCCCTCATGCTGGAGAAGGGGCGTTGGTCTTACCTGAACGCCATTTCTCAGCATGATGATGGATAATCCACCCCCGCCCCTTTTTCTTTTCATGGATTCATGGGCACGGTGATAGGAGTCTGGAGAACAACACGCCTGACTTTGTCTGTTGCTTCGCCTCCGTCGGAACTGGGCATGTGCGGCCAGGCAGGAGGCGTGGCTATCTCAGACTTAGTCTTATTGGGTACAAGGGACTTCAGGAAACCCAATCATGTGGATTATCCATCATCATGCTGAGAAATGGCGTTCAGGTAAGACCAACCCCCTTTCCATACAGCTTCAGATCATCCATGTAAAGGAGGTGGGATAGTCTGGCAGATGTTTTTGATGTTTGATAGCCATGTCCTGAGTTATTCAGTATTGTTGACAGAGGAAACAATGCAATAACAAATAGTAGTGGTGATAATGAATCTCCTTGAAATATTCCTCTCTTGATATTAACCTCTCCCAGTCTTTCATCATTGACCTGCAACTGTGTCTTCCACTGTACCATCGATCTTTGCACAAATTTTCTGATGTTTCTACTGACTCCTGTTATTTCTAGGCACTTGATTATCCAGTCATGTGGCAGAGAGTCAAATGCCTTTTTGTAGTCAATCCATGCCACATTCAGGTTGGTCTTCCTTTTCTTGCAGTTTTCCAAGATCATTTTGTCTATTAGGAGTTGGTCTTTTGTTCCTCTGCTATTGGGGTGGTTTCCTTTCTGCTCGGGTGGAAAGAGATTGTTTTCAACTAGATGCTGTTGTACTGCATCAGCTATCACACCAGTTAGCAATTTGAAAGTTGTTGGTAAGCAGGTAATTGGCCTGTAGTTTCCTGGTGTTGCCCCTTTTGCTGGATTTTTCATTATTAGGTAGGTTTTCCCAGTTGTTAGCCACTTTTCAATTTCTCCTCCTTGTAGTATATTGTTGAACTACTTGGCAATGAGTGCGTATATAACAGTTAGATGTTTCAACCAAAACCCATGCAGTTCATCTTCACCTGGTGCTGACCAATTTTTGATCCTCCTTGCTCTTTTTTCTACCATTTTTGTTGTTATTAGTTCTTTCATTTCAACTTCTGTTTTATTTGCATCCACCTCTTTTAACCAAGCCGTATCGTTGTTGTATTTCTTTGGGTTATCCTATATCTGCTTCCAGAACTGCACTGTTTCTTCCTTGTCAGGTACTGACTGATTCATTGCACTTTCTCCATTGATGGATTGGTAGAAACGTTTCTGATTGGATTGAAATTGGAGGTTCTGCCTATAATTTGCAATTAGAGCTTTGTATCTGCTGACTTTCCTGGCTATAGTTGTTATTTGGGCTTTATTATTTCCAGTGCTTCCTTGATCTTCCTTGTTTCTAAGTGGTATTTCTTGATTAGGTATTATTTGGTCTTGTTCTTCAGCTTCTTTTCTTTCATCTGTTCTAGCTTGCTTGCATGTGATCTTAACTTGCTGATCTTATTTTCTAGTCTAACCTTCCATTTTGTGATGCACTGTTTGTTTGTTTTTCTTT